GAGTCAACTATGAGTTCATTCATAGTTTTCTAGAAAACTTTACATTTCATATAAATTTTATGGTTGCCTCTAGCTGGATGTGTGTTTTGCGGCTTTTGTTTTGGGGTGATATTGGAGTATCTCATATCTGGTCAGAGAACCTGTGATTGCCCGGTTTCACTTCCTAGCCGCTAGTCTATGCTTTTTTTCCCCTCTCTCCAATTTCACTCCCCAATGTCTTCACAGGGCTGTTGCCCCTCGCAGCAGGCTACTGTTCTCCCAGGGCTTCCTTTCCCAAATGGGAGCTGGACCCCAGCCCTGGCTTCACTCAGTGATCCTACCCGGTCTTCTGCTAACTTGGGGCTCCCAGGGTCTCTGTTGATGTGCAGAAGCCAAACTCCAGGACTACAACTCATGCTTCCAGCTTTGGAGCCCAGGAGACCCATGAATCCACTTAATCCCTTGATAGTCTCAAAATTCTGAAAAAGAAGAAAAAGAAATTCTTCTTTTTCTGGTCCACAGCAATGGCTACCTTGTTTTTGAGCTTAGATATGGTTTTTTTTTTTTTTTTTTCTTTAAAGTTTTAAGTGCTTGTAGCAGTTCTTAGAGCTGCTAACAACTCTTGGGTTGTTAGACCCAACTTCTAACAGTTGCTAACAATTCTTGGGTTGTTAGAGCAAGAATTCATTGAGTCATCATGCTTGGAAATTCCCCAGCCCCCTGCTTTTAACCACTAGACTACATTACCTCTTCAATTAATCATGCCTTGAGACACTATCTAATCATCTAGCCGGGGGACTGAGGGCCTGTTCTCTTCTCCCTGGGTTGAAGACAATGTAGTCTCTTTTGCTGAGATTCACCACCTTCCTGCCTACAACATAAATAAAACAGGAGGTTCTGAAATCAGTCTGTGAGAGTCTTTAGTGCCCCCTCCTTTTCCCTGACCGCCCACTTTAGAGAGGAGGAAATGGAGGTTCAGTGAGATAAAATTACTGGACCAAATTATCTCTAGCTAATGCTGGACATAGGTTCAGAACACCTAGGTATGATTTCGAATCTAATCCTTTTCCCAGAAGATAGTGGTTCTCAGCTTTGGTAACAACTGGAGATGTTTGAAACTTACTGATACTCAGGCCCGAATCAGATGAATGAATTTAGAATTTCAGATGGTGGAGTCCAGACATCTGTATTTTTTAAAGCTCAGGTGCTTTCTGAGGCCTGATAGGAATTGAGGACCACCACACTGGATGATGTCCCCTGTCTTGCTCAAGCCTCCTTTTACCCTCTGTGGCTTTTCTTCCAAGGGGAGCCTTACCCCGCAAATTCCCTGAGTTGGGTCTTTATCACTTTCTCTGTTCTTGTCCTATTCCTCTAGTCTCCACCCCTCATCTTTTGCATAATTAGTATTTTCAGCACAGAATATCTGTTTTATTGCTTCTTTTAAAATTTTTCTATTAATTTTTTTTTTGTAGAGATGGAGTCTTGCTATGTTGCCCAGGCTAGTCTCAAACTCTTGGGCTCAAGTAATCCTTCCACCTCTGCCTCTAAGTTTTGGGATTACAGGTGTGAGTCACTGCACCCTGTTTTATTGCTTCTTGATCATTTTAGGAATAATAGATTACTTTTAATTTCCCATTTAAAAACAACTAACGTTTTTCTCAGTGAGTGTGTGGATGAAATATATGTACATACACACATAAATTCATGCATATACACCAAAGGTGCCTGAATACCAAATAATCACCTAGGATTTTCAGTGCTTAGAATTGGGTTACTCTTTGATCCCTGCCACACTCCCCTCACTGTCTGTGTATATCCCCCTTTTACATTGTGTGTGTACTTACAATGTCATAAGCACTTGAGAGCTCACATCTGCCACAGGAAACTAGACACTGGCACAATTTGCCTACTCCTCCATCAGCTTTTCTAGCCCATCTCTGGCTTCCCTGATGACAGCTAGTCACTTTCCTGAATCTTGCACTCATCATCTGCTTTGTAACAGTTTTACTATATATGTTCATTCCTAAGATTATATTGCTTGGTTGGTTATTTTTAATTTTTTAGAAAAAGAAATCATGTTGCCCGTAGTCTCCTGGAGCCAACTATTTCCAACAATATTATATTGCCAAAAGTCAGCCATATTGTTGTGTGTAGCTGCAGTTCGTTAGTGTTGAGTACCTCACAATCTTTTCATTGTGGAGTACACCAGAATTTACTTATTCATTTGGGATATTTCCAGATTTTTGCTCCCAAGAATAGTGCTGCTATGAATACTTTTGTACATCCTTCCTGGTGCACACATGTAGGAGTTTTTCTTGAGTAGATACCCAGAACTAGAATCTGGGGATTGTAGAGTTTAGGACTATTTATAAGATAATACCAAATTCTTTTCCAATGAGGTTTCACCAGTTTCCTCTTCCTCTGGAGATCCTCTGTCTCCGTATCATCTCTGGTATTTTATGATGTATTCTTTCTTAATTTTGTCAATCAAGTTGTTATCAAAGGCATTATTGTGCATTTCTCTGTTATTTCCTCAAATGTTTATTGGCCATATGTGTTTTCTCTTCTGTGAAATGGTTGTTCATGTCTTCTATTCCTTTTTTTCTATCATTTTGTTTGCTCCTTTTTTATGGACTTATAGTAATTCTTTGTATATTTTCAATAGTTATTTGTTTTTGGTGGTATGTACTGCAAATATATTTTTCCAGTTTTTAAGTTATCCTTTCCTATATTGAGTGGTCTAAGATCACATTTGACACCTCTTACCCCTCTTTTGGCACCCCTTCCATTTAACACAATCAACTGTTCCCAAAACAAAACTGACTCTTGATAGTCTTGTGTTAAATTCCTTAATGAATCTGCATTTTGGTTTCCATGATTTCAAGTAGTTGAAAGGCATGTTAGGGTCCCAGTGGTGGATAAATATCCCCACAGTATTTAGTTGCACTTTGATCGGGAGGTTCTGAGGCCTTGGGCTGTGACTTGTCAGTAGAAAAATATTTCTGGGCAGAGGAGCCACCATCCCTCAACTCATACTTGTCTACACTCACCACTCCATGGGCCATGAAACATATGCAGGATTCACATCCTAGAGAACTCTTCTAAAATACAATTCCCTAGGAAGCTTTCATTTTTCTCCAAGTAGTAAAACTCCCACTTCCTGATAGTTACAAAGATAGGTTTTGTTGTCATAATGCTTTCTCTGTGTGCTGCTTTGCAATCAGAGTTTTCACCACTCAATGGATACATCATTGAGTAGCACATTACAGCTAACGTGTATCAGTTTGCCGCTATTATTGTCATAATCAAAAGGCGGAGCTACAGTGAAATATTTGCTTCGTGCATGCATATCTGTTATCCGAAGGGCCCTTTAACCTAAATGGTGTGCTTTCTGTAATGTCTTCGGTTAATGAATGGGTCTGTGAGGGCCTCAGAGCAGTGCAATGTGGGAAGAATGCTATAATTTCTTTTTAACATGCAGGAATTCTGAATACAAGAAAATGCATGCCAAATTTTATTGCTTCTAAATCTGAATAATTGTGTTTCTGGGCTGTGCATCTGGGTAGATAATAAAGCCACAAAACAATTTAATGAAACATATAAAAAATAAAATGACATTACTAAATATTATAATATGAAGAAACTATTTTTTGCATATTGTCACCTAATCTTTCAACCATATAGCAACAAATAATGCAACCATAATTGAAAGTTTTATTATCCATCTGAGTAAATTGAGCTCAAATTTACCTTGTTCTCGTTAGTTGGTGGGCAAGCCTATTGGGGTTACTCACAGGATTTCATTTTCATGGTGGATTATTTTTTTCTTCTTTCCTATGAAATCTAATGTGGTCAATAAATAGCCCTGCTGCTTAATCGATTCTGAACCCGACTCTTCAGAAAGCCACTCCTCGGCCTGTGACCCATGCTGGCAGCCAGCCCTGTATCTGCTGTTTTAGTTTTAGAAACTAGCTCTGCACACATGAGCCTTCCTGGTCCTAAAGCCCTGCGATCACACCAAGGATCTCAGTATCTTTGCTCTTTGGCACGTGTCTCGTGTTTCCTTCTTCCACTCCTACAGCTCCAGAGGGGAAATACTTTATTTGCTGTAAAAGGAATTTGACTAGATTTCTGGAGTGGAACTTGGGAATATGTTGAATCGTGTTGACCTGCACTGAAAAGATTTCTCACTGGTAAAAAGTCCACAAACTGCTTCTGTGGCCTGGGGTGGGGTGGAGGCTGCACCATAGGGAGAAGTTCACTGGTATGCTGATCTCAAGACCCACGTGCTAGACCTCCCTGCTGCAACCAAGGCCCATCTGTTACCAGGGGAGGCCCTGAGGTGTGAGGGATGCCAGACCTCGTGAGAAGACGGCACATCTACCTGAAGTATCTGAAGAGTTGTAGGAAAAGCCCGATTGACTTCTATAGCAATGTTCAGTTATGCTTATTTTTGAAGTTTGCAACCTTTTCTTGGAGCCCTGGTTGGGTGGAGTCAGGTGTTAGGTGTTTCCCCAAGTCCACTGCGGTGTGCCTCTTGAGCTTGCCCAAGCTGTGGGCTGCCCAGATGATGTGTGAGAGAGGTGCCTCTTCATCAGGCAGGCCCCGGCGCCTCATAGAAACCCCAGCTCCAGCCATCACAGCCTGTCCATATCACTGTGGAGAAGCTTTCATCCTACAGGCCTGCATCAGGGAGAATGAGTCAGCAGGAGGGCCTATCATCAGGAAGAGACCCCCCACAACCACTCTGGAACCCAGGCTCTCTCCTGATGGAGCCCTTTTGTTTGTTTGCTTGCTTGTTTTCAAGGAGTTTGTTCTCCTTTTCTGCCATTCGGCCTAGGTATGGCCTGCTCTAGTCCATCTAGTATGTTGCAGTAACTTCAGGCTTCAATGAGGAGTTGGGGTTTTCCATCTCTTTCCTCCCAAAAGGCCCTGATGTGCTGATACAAATTTACTCAGACCCTCATCCTCACCCTCTAGCTCCAAATACAAAAGAGAGGGGAATTGCTCCAATTACAAAAGAGAGGGGAATTGCAGTGGTGGCGGGGCAGGGGTGGTAAGGAGACCCAGCTCCAGCGGGCTCACTGCCGATGAGGGCCACCGCCCAGGCAAAAGATTCCTTCACACACTTCCCCCCACTCACCCAGAGCAAAGCACTGAGACTTCCATCATGCACAAGTCCTTCAGCTTATTGGAGTCCTTCAACTTAAGTTCTTTCTTAACAGATATCCCATTAGGATTAAGAAAACCTCACCACCAACAAACTTCATACCCCATCAACAGTGATGTCAGCATGAGGATTAATACTTTGGGAAAGAAATTTTTTTTCAAGTAAGACTTCTATGAAATGTGCTGCTTGCCATGTGCCAAGGTTTTTGGCTGATTCCCAGATCCTATGGAGAAAGGTGGGAATATTGGGGGAGTAATGAGGAAGCCCCTTTATTTTCTCTTACTCTTTAGGTAATTCAGTATAAAACTTTCAAAACATCAGGTTAGACCAATCCCTAATTTGCCTAGTAGTTCATTGGGGAGAACACATGCTCCTCTCTCTCCAAGTGGAGGGATGTCTGTATCCCTGGTTTCTTCCCAGTCTCTCTTCCCCAGGTTAGGGGATGGAGATGAGGCTCTGGGGGGTGGGGACAGAAAATGCTGAGCTTAGCCTCTTGCCCTCCCTCTGATCAGAATCTGTCTGCAGGATTCTGACTCCTGTTTGCACTCCATCATGGCATACAGAGCAGGGGAAGGTAAGCTTCAGGGCCTTGAATTTAGGGGGAAGGACTGGCTAGTCCACTTGGCCACAGGGCTGAAGCTCTGCTTTCCAATCAGTTCTTCGCTGCCTTGGAGCCAGTATTATCTTCTTTTATTGGATTCCCATGTCTCTCTCTCAATTGTCTTTGAGAGGACTGGAGGGGAAAGCCTGTTGCTGACATGCCTAACATCGTACTAGAGGAGAAAATGATCCAAAATCGAAATTTGGGAGCAAAGCTGAACAGCAGGATAATTCTTTTAGAAGTTTTTCTTCTCAATTGCATTAATTTTTTTTTAAATTGTGGTAAAATACACATAACATAAAATTTACCATCTTAACCATTTGTAAGTATACAGTTTGGTAGTGTTAAGTACATTTCCATTGCTGTGTAACCCATCTTCAGAACTCTTTTAATCTTGCAATAATGAAATTCTTTCTTTTTCTTAAAATTTTTTTTTTTTAAAACTATAAGTTCTAGGGTACATGTGCACAACGTGCAGGTTTGTTACATAGGTATACATGTGCCATGTTGGTTTGCTGCACCCATTAACTCATCATTTACATTAGGTATTTCTTCTAATGCTATCCCTCCCCCTGCCCCCTGCCCCCTACCCCATGACAGGCCCTGGTGTGTGATGTTCCCCACCCTGTGTCCAAGTGTTCTCATTGTTCAATTCCCACCTATGAGTGAGAATATGCGGTATTTGGTTTTCTGTCCTTGTGATAGTTTGCTCAGAATGATGGTTTCCAGCTTCATCCATGTCCCTACACAGGACATGACTGCATCCTTTTTTATGGCTGCATAGTATTCCATGGTGTATGTGTGCCACATTTTCTTTATCCAGTCTATCACTGATGGACATTTGGGTTGATTCCAAGTCTTTGCTATTGTGAATAGTGCCACAGTAAATACGTGTGCATGTGTCTTTATAGCAGCAGCAATAATGAAATTCTGTACCCATTAAACAACAACTGTCTATTCCTTCCACCCTTAAGCTCTAGCAAACACATTCTACGTTGTGTGTCTACATATTTGACTACTCTAGGTCCCTCATATAAGTGGAATCATATAATATCTGTCTTTTTATGACTGGCTTATTTCACTTGGCATAATGTCCTTAAGGTTCAGCCATCTTATAGCATGTGTCAGACTTCATTTCTTAAACATTTCAGAATTTTTAAGGCTGAATAATGTTTCACTTTAAATTCACCTGTTTATTCATTTATCCATCAGTAGATACTTGTGTTGCTTCCACCTTTTTGTTATTATAGTGCTGCTGTGAACGTGAATACCCCTGCTATGAACATGAGTTCATAGTGAATAATGCTGCTATGAACATGAGTGTACGACTATTTCTTTGAGACCCTGTTTTAAATCTTCTGGGTATGTACCCCTAAGTGAAATTGCTGGATCTCATGGATAACATTCATTTTAGATTTTTTGAGGAACTACAAAACTCTTTTCCATAGCAGCTGCACCATTTTGTATTCCCAGCAACAATGCATAAGGGCTCCAATTTCTCCACATCCTTGCTAATGCTTGTTATTTTCTGTTGTTTTTGAATGTCATTATCCTAATAGGTATGAGGTAATATCTCGTTTGTGGTTTTGATTTGCATTTCCTTAATGTTTAGTAATGTGAGCATGTTTTCATGTGCTTGTTGACTATATATCATCTTTGAAAAAATGTCTATTCAAGTCCTTTGTCCATTTCTAATCAAGTGTTTGTTTGTTTGTTGTGTTTTTTAGTTGTAGGAATTATTTATATACTCTGGTTATTAACTTCTTATCAGATATATAATTTGCAAGAGACAGGAGACTGATTCTGTGCTGCCATGTCTTCTTATGGAGGGAACTTGCTGGGGAGATCAGACAGCCCTTTTCATCAGCCCAAATGTTTCAGCCCTTCAGACATCACATGGAATTAGTACCAGAGTCTTAGGAAGGGAAAGGATGTGGAACTGTGGTTTATTTAGCTGCTGTTATTGGCTGGGCATAGTACTGGCCCTTTGGATGACTGTCTGATTTCTTCCTCTCAAAAAGACCAGAAATCACCAGCCCACTTAACAGATGAGTAACTTAAGGGTTAGAGGCTGTGGACTTGATCCTCTTCACAGTGATGGGTAACTCTGGGAAGAGTTAGATTGAGTATATAAAACATTATAAGGATAGTCAGGAACTTTAGTAACCAGTTTGGGGCTGAAGGCAAATTTCTAAAAAGTTTTTTTTTTTTTTTTGAGACGGAGTCTCGCTCTGTCGCCCAAGCTGGAGTGCAGTGGCCGGATCTCAGCTCACTGCAAGCTCCGCCGCCCGAGTTTACACCATTCTCCTGCCTCAGCCTCCCGAGTAGCTGGGACTACAGGCGCCTGCCACCTCGCCTGGCTAGTTTTTTGTATTTTTTAGTAGAGACGGGGTTTCACCGTGTTAGCCAGGATGGTCTTGATCTCCTGACCTCGTGATCCGCCCGTCTCGGCCTCCCAAAGTGCTGGGATTACAGGCTTGAGCCACCGCGCCCGGCCTAAAAAGTTTTTTTGAAACTAGAGAAAATGGTTACAATTATTTCAAAGTCTTGTATTTTCTTATTAAAAATTTAAAAATCAGATAAAAAGTACCTTCTGCTCCCCAGCAGTGTACAAGATACTCTGTTCAGCTCTTAGAAAGCCATGAGAGAAGGTGTGGGTTTTGCTGTGACTTAGCTGTACAGATCTGGTAGTGGATATATTTTTCCACAAGATTTTAAACTCTGAGATTGCTGGGGTTTTTGACTGTTTTGTTTACAACTGTATTCCTAGAGCCAAAAAGAGTGTCCACTACATAGCAAATACTCAATAAATATTTGTTGAATGAGTCCACTAATAAATGTAAGTTTAATCATAAGAGACAGTTAAACTTGTGCAAAATAACACAATGTAGCTCCAGGATATTTTGCCTAGAACTTAAGATCCAAGGGCCATTCAGAAAGAAAATGACAGGTACTGGATGCTGTTATTGGAGAATATAATGGGCTTCCATTTGCTTTTTGCTATGGTCTGCATGCTTGTGTGGCCTGAAAATTTATTTATAGAAATCCTGACTCTCAAAGTAAAGGCATTAAAAGGTAGAACCTTTTGTGAGGTCATTAGGTCTTGAGGGTGGAGCCCTCATGAATGGGATTAGTGGCCTTGTAAAATAGGCTTGAGGGAGTTTGCTTCTTCCACTATGTGAGGACACAGCAAGGTACTATCTATGAACGAGGAAATGGGCCCTCACCAGACACTAAATCTACTGGCAGCTTGATCTTGGACTTCTGAGCTTCCAGAACTGTGAGAAATAAATTTTTGTTGTTTATAAGCTACACAGTCTATAGTACTTGGTTATAGCAGCATGAATGGATTAAGTCACTCTTCCTAGAGATGGACCTGGAGTTGGACATTAATGGATGGATAGGCAGCTAGAAGTAGAAAGGATAATTTTGGATGTGAGAGAGGCCTGAGCAAAGCACAGGCTGTGACTGTGGGAGGATGCTGAGTAGAGGTGAGCCAGATGAGGCTTCAAGAGGCCAAGGGACTTGCCCAGGATGTGCCACTTGGGAGTAACTGCATCTAAACCCAGGAAATCTGGCTCCAGAGCTCAGTCTGTGTTTCTTTGATAAATGCAGATGATGGGCAGGAGGAGATAGGCTGTGAGAAGCTGTTTCCATGGCAGAGAGGAACCTCGTGGGATGGTGGACACCCTTCCTCCTGATGTCCTCTGAGTCACACACATTTCCTGTCTATGGAAGTCTTCTTGCTGTTCCTTTTCACCACTCAGGAAGTGGGAGCAATATTAACCCAGCCACTTCTAAGTAGATGAGCATTAATGAGAGAACCACTTGGGAATTTCTAGGTGAAAAGTTGTGCATAAAGACAGAGCATTTCTATACCAGCAAGTGGTGAAAAATAAAGGACATTTCAAAGAATATTATCATATAACATGATTTTTGCATAGAGTATTCAGACAGACTGCTTTTGCAGACTTAAATAATCCCAGGATGAAAGGTGCTATATATATGCAAAGTATTATTATTATTATCCAGTGGTAGAAAAGAGGGGCATTTCAAAGAATGTTTCAGTACAATACAATTTTACTTTGCACAGAGAGTTCAAGGGAAAAGGCTTTATTTTATAGACTTAAATAATATCGTTATGGAGCTACAGTAAAATAAATAATACAGATATGGTGTTAAAATAAATAATACAGTTAGGAGGCTTAAATAAATAATGGTAGAGAGAGAAGAGAAATTAAGAGTCCTGGGAAAAGACAGGGGGAGATGGAATTTTGAATTATAAGTGGTAGACAATTGAGGTCCAAAGAGTCCTAAAATATTCAGGATGTATCTGTACTGACCAAAAAGAAAAAAAAAAAAAAAAGAGGCACAGGACAATTTGCAGTAAAGGGATTAATCTTTTATTTTTTAGGGATAGAGTTTTCCCATTGTTTCAAAGACACTGAAGGCAGTATCAAAACTTCTAGCTGAAAAGTTAAAAATAATTAAATTCACCATGTTATGGGATTTACACTAAACAACATCCTGGGGTGGGCACTACTCAAATTTTGTGGTCTCTATGTTTTTTTAAAGGTCTAGATTCTCATCTTTCTACAGAGACAGGGTTAAAACACTCCAGGCAGAACAACCAAGCCCTTTCTTCAGCTATAAACTTAAGCTTTCTAGACCTGATATTCTGAGAATAAAAATGAGCTGGGTGCTTTTGGGAGGGAGCAAGTAAAGGGGCTGCCATTTATTTCTCCCTGGTTCTGAGCTTGGCAGTGGACCACAGGAATCAGGCTCCTGAGGGAGTGTTGGAGCAGGAAGGAAAGGGATTAAGAAGCCAGAAAGCTGAAGCTGAGGTGAGCTTCATCCACCCCCAGGCCAAAGGCTGGCACATTGGGTCCTCTTCGTGCTTGAAGGAAATTTTTTTTTTTTTTTTTGAGAAGGAGTCTCGCTGTCGCCCAGGCTGGAGTGCAGTGGCATGATCTCGGCTCACTGCAAGCTCCGCCTCCCGGGTTCACGCCATTCTCCTGCCTCAGCCTCCCGGTAGCTGAGACTACAGGCGCCCGCCACCACGCTCAGCTAATTTTTTTGGATTTTTAGTAGAGATGGGGGTTTCATTGTGTTAGCCAGGATGGTCTCGGTCTCCTGACCTCATGATGCGCCCGCCTCGGCCTCCCAAAGTGCTGGCATTACAGGCGTGAGCCACCACGCCTGGTCATTTGAAGGAATTCTTAAGGTCTTGGGACAATGAAGAGAAGTTTCTTGATGAGGAGTACCAGTTCCCTGCTGGAGACTCACTAGAGCATTCCTGATATGGTTTGGCTGTGACCCCACCCAAATCTCATCTTGAATTCCCATGTGTCGTGGGGGGGACCCAGTGGGACTTAATTGATTCCTGGGGGCAAGTCTTTCCCATGCTGTTCTTGTGATAGGGAATAAGTCTCAGGAGATCTGATGCTGCTGTAAGGGGGAGTTCCCCTGTACAAGGTCTCTTTGCTGCCATCCACATAAGATGTGACTTGCTCCTCCTTGCCTTCCACCACGATTGTGAGGCTTCCCCAGCCATGTGGAATTGTGAGTCCAGTTAAACCTCTTTCTTTTGTAAATTACCCAGTTTCAGGTATGTCTTTATCAGCAGCATGAAAACGAATTAATACAATTCCCTTCTCATCCAGATGTGCCTTTAAATGCCAGGGTGCCATTGTGTTTGCAAAGAACAGCCTAAGGGAAACCTCATTTTTCCAAAGATGCAATAAAGGTCCCAATGGCTCTGTCCTCTGCCTGTCCATGGAAGCCTAGCTGTGGGTCACAGCCTCCTTTAGCCTGACCTTGGTCCCTTCCAGCCCAGCTCCTTTAGCATGTTCAGGCTAGTCTGCTCATTTTGTCACTTGTAATATATTTTTTCTTTTAAGTAGGCTGTCTCACTGTGTGGGACTTAGGAACTAGACCATGAACTCCCATCTTCTCCTGCCTCTTCCAGATCATCTAGCTCTGGCCTAGGCATATAGTGGCTGTTCAGTGGATAATTCTTTTTTCTTTTTTTTTTTGAGATGGAGTCTTACTCCATCACTCAGGCAAACATGCAGTGGCACGATCTCTGCTGACTGCAACCTCCGCCTCCTGGGTTCAAGCTATTCTCTGCCTCAGCCTCCCAAGTAGCTGGGATGCACAGGTGTGTACCACCATGCCTGGCTAATTTTTTTGTATTTTTTTTTTTTTTTAGTAGAGACAGGGTTTTGCCATGTTGGTGAGGCTGGTCGCAAACTCCTGACCTCAAGTGATCCACCCACTTCAGCCTCCCAAAGTGCTGGGATTACAGGCATGAGCCACCACGCCCAGCCTTCAGTGGAGAATTCTGTATTATTCCTCACTAGGCAGAATGCTGTGGTCAGGGGAGAAACTGAGGAAGAATACTACTGGGGACTAAGGGAGCCCCACTCACAGGCCTCCTGTCTAAACAATGCTATGACGCCTATTTTGAGGTTCCTCTGTGGTACTTGAAGTTAGATGTCTTCTTGGACAACTTCACATAGAGCATGTCAAGAAAAGCCTCAGGGGGTATTGTTTCCTTGGGAGCAACGGGATGATGAGCTCCTTGCGATGTTATGTAACTTTGAGGGGAAAGAAAAAACAAATAGAAAGGCAGAGAAAAATATAAATAAAAAAGAGTGCAAAGTTTTATTGTCAACTGCTGCTGTCACCTCCTGGAACTACAGTCGTATCTAAGAAATATGTGACATACTAATAGGAAGTAATTTACCCAAGGATGTTTTTTTGTGCCTTGAATTGCCTTTCCAGCCTGGCTGTGGGAACTTTGCAAGCGTATATGCATGAAAGCCGGCGCGGTGCTTCAGAAACTTCCCAATTTGTGCACAGTGTGGCTTTTATAAGGCCATTAAACTCATCTTGGGGAAAAGCGCTCTGGAAAACAGTGATACATGGGGTCTCAAGGAGCCTGTGAAGGCAGACAGAAATGGCCAAGTGGTGACCAATGCTCTTGGCTAAAGTGACTCTGAGGGGCTGCTGCTTCTCCAGGCTCCCACCTCTCCGTCTGGTTTATTTTCTTTTCCCTACCCTTAGCAGCGCTTGGAGTTGGACGGGGTGACTTTCCGTGGCACCATCTTGGATCCAGAAAGCACTGTCTTTTTTTTATTTTTGCTGCAATTGGGTGGGTACTCTGAGACCTGAAGTTGGGACCTGGGCACATGGGGTGGTCCTGGGGTTTCACTCTCAGCCTAGAAACAACCACAGAACAGCTGTGACTCCAGGGCCCTGGGGATGAAGCTCCATCGTGGCTCTAAGGAGGCCCTCACAGGCCACACTCACGGCTAGGAGAATCTAGGTATTTACCAGTCTGTGAACCTCAAGTCCTTGGGAGAGGAAGAGCCCAAAGGGAAGAAAGTCAGGCAGAAAAAGGATAGAGCAAATTCCAGGGAAAGAGGGAGAGGGGAGAGAAGCAGGAAGGGTGGTGAAGATGGTAAGAGAGTCCAGAGCCAGAGAGAAGGAGCAAATCAGAGCCAGAGGATGGTGGAGGGACAAGGAGGAGGGTGGGGAGGAAGAAGAAGAGGAGAAGGATCAGGAGACAGCCTGCTTACGGTTTTTTTTTTTTTTTTTTTTTTTCCTCAAGTGTCTTCATATGCTTGTTCTGTAAACACAGGCAGAGCCAGGATCAGAATATAGAAACAGTGAAATCGTTGAGAGCACCAGAGACAAGAGAGCTGGTTGACGGTGCTGGTGTTGCCCACGGAGAGAGCAGGTAGCCATTTCGAGCGCCCCTGCAAGTTCTTTTGCTGCTGTAAACACCTCCCTCCTACTTTTATCACAGTGCCTGAAATCCCATCACGATTCCAAGCTCCTTCTTTAAAATACAGCTCCACCTCAGATGGGGACTGCGCAGTCTTCAGAGGCTGAGGGAGCTGGGAGGGCATTCTCTTTGCTGAGCAGGGCAGTACAAGGGATGTACACTGCTTTTGGCGTGGTTCGGGGTCTGGCTGTGATAAAAAACCGTGATTCAGGGCTGGGTGGTGAAGGTGTCTGGGCGGGGGTGAGGGCCGGCCTCTCTTGCTTCATCATTTGACTAGGGAGCAGGGCTCTGTGTGCAAAGACACCGGGAAAGGGACCTGAGGGTGCTCAGTGGTTGCGGGTGACTTCACAGGGACAGGGGAAGGGAAAGGAGTAGGGAGTCTTTAATTTGTACTCTGGCCTGTGTATCTCTCCCTGTGTCCTAGCTTGGGAAAAAAGAAATGAGCCCTTTATCAATTTTTAATAAATTGAAATGACAAATAATCCATTTAATAAATTATTAACTGAGAAAATGACTGAAAACTGAAATATCAAACAATTGTGAGCAAATGCCCGGAGCAGCGTGTTTATTAGTGACGAGTCCTTCTGCAGGAGAGTGCTGATGCTGTGGGCCCCACAGCCTCTGCCCCGACCCCATCGAAGCCTGGAGTGTCAGGGACCTCAGGCAGGTATGCGCTTGGGTGCAAGTGTGGGGTCCAAGGCAAATGGAATAGTTACTTTTGCCTTTGATCCCTATAGCTGACTGGTTCACAGACAGCTCTTGGATAGGGAATACGGACCTGCCACTTTGATGTTCACCAGCGTGAAGCCCCACATTCCTCCCTAATGGTACTAGAAGGGGGCTAGAAATAATCCCACCCCTGGGGATTATTTAGTCCTTTAAATTAAGAGCTGTATCCTCAGGAGAAATGATATATGTGTGTTTATGAAGTCTTGTGTCTATAGAAAGGTGGATGCCAACCTGTGATCCGCCTCTAGTGATGACCAGCTGAGCCTGCTGCCCTATCACAGGCCTCACAGGCTGCAGCAGGAGGCCTGGGGCACTTCCTGATGGGAGAAGCCCGAGTGTGGAGTCACTGGCTGGGGAGAGGTCAAGCACTTTGTGGAATGGGGGTGAGACTCCTTTGACACTCCTGAATGGCCTTAAGCCTCCAAATCCTGAATGTCATCTCCAAGAAGCTTCCCTCTGACCTCTCTTGGAACTCCTGCCTTTACAGGTAGTCACACAAATTTGTCCAGCATGACCGGGGTGCAGGCAGAAGTGGCTGAGGGGGCCTCTCACCACATTTCTGGGCATGGTCATCTCTGCATTGGCCTGTGGTGAGGGACCACTGGCATCATCCCCCCTGAGGTGTGTGCTTTCTCTAGAAGCATAGCCCAACCAGACTGCCGGCCTCTGCTCTCCCAAGGCTGCCATGGCCTGGAAACACTTCTCCACTATAGCCCTGCTGTGGGGCTTGGGGCTGGTAGGGTCAGCTGACCTCCCTATGCCCTAGTTCCTTTATCTGTAAAATGGGGATAATAATAAACAGGGTTATTTGATGACTGGGATGGAAACAGTCCCATTATATAAATACAATACAGCAGTTTGGGATGACAGGCTGTAGGCTCGAAGATGGTGCTGCAATGGGTATTTTTAGGAAGGAGGGAAGGGGGGAGGGATGAGTGGTTTATAAATGTTTGTTGCATTAAAAAATGTGCTAGTTTGAATTGTGCAGAACAGAGTATCATTTGTTTCTAGAAAAATTCACTGCTGTGGAAATGAATTAGTTTACATTGAATATGTGATGGTTCAGAGAAAGGAATATTAACCCAATTTGCATTTCTTTGAACTGAAATAAATTATTGCCGTGTTTGCATTAGTTGGGTCAACTGGATGTGATTGGGCAGACTTGCCGTGGGGAAAGCTGGTCTTGGGCTTGGAGGTGTGCGATATGGTCGGTGTGTACAGATCAGCAAGCACCTTCCAAATCTGGGCTTATTAACCTTTCGGTGGACTGCAGACCCCTATGGGGTTTTGATGAAAGCAGTGTGCACAGCCGCCCTGTACAATTGCTTATGAATCTTAGCAGACTCTCTGAGTCTTTAACCCTCTCATGATCCAGAGGTAAACGTCCCTACCCATTGTCTTGGTATCCCATGATCAGATCATAGCACAGATTGGTCAGAGCCCAGTTTCTGAGGTCTGTCCCATCTGTGGAAATAAAACAGAACTTTGGGTCCAAAGAGGAAAACAGCCAAAGGCCAGTTCACATATGTGCTGTGACCTGGGGGTTTTGGACATTTTGAACCTTTGTAAGACAACATTCCCAGCTGTGAGAAGGCGCTGGCTGTGCCACCTGCAGCCCTGTCAATCATCAGAATTGACATGGTGGGACTGGCCAGCAAGCCATGGCATCTTCCTCCCTCTTTTCTCTGTGTTGATGCCTGCTGAAATTGCATCCTGAACTGAATAAAGAATGCTCCCTGAAGGCAAGGGGGTGCCAGTGTCTGGGCTTTTCCAAGCCTGGCCCTGATCCTAGGCCTAGTAGTTCCCCACTGGGGTGGTGGGTGGGGGGACATCAGTACAGCCAGTCAGCAGGTCAGTGTGATACAATGTCTTCAATGCCTGACAAATGGGGTATTGGTTATTGCTGGCAATGTGTGAATTCTGACAGCATCATGTGGACAGCAGGTGACTCTTGTAGATGGACACCAAAATGTAAAGAAACATCGAGTAGAAACAGAAGCTACAAATATTCAGAGCCTCACACCCAGACTTGCCCTGTGAGCCTGTTGAACCAAATGGGCCTCAGCATCACTAAGCCCACCATGGTTGGGGAGAGAGTGAGCACGGGAGGGAGAGGAAGAATAATCTCACCTCTGGTCAAATAGAGGACAGTAAAACTTTAGCTAATTAGCAACCAGTTGCCAGAGAGTCTTATTTAACGAGTTCCCCCATCTGAACTCACTTTTATTGGAAAGAGGCAACCACAAGAAAACAAGATGAGAAGTAGAGACTTAATTTAAAAAATAACTTTGGGGGAAAGTCGCTTTCATGTCACTTCTCTGCTTAAAACCCATCAATGGTGTCTTAGTGATTTCAGGATAAAGCCCAAATCTCATAACTTAGTATATGACTCGTCACACCCTACTTGACCAGTAGTACTAAGATTTTTGCATTTTCCAGATATGCTCTCTTACCTCCACTTGGTGCCCCCTCTGCCCCTCCTCATCCCAAGTTGTATCCTCTGGGCAGTTTCCCAGGCCCTAGACTGGGTTTCAGCCTCTGCGATAACACTTATTATATTACACATTAATAGCAGGAGAGGCTGGTATGATCAGCCAGCCCATGGGATCCTCAGGGCAGAGCCATGCCTGATTCACTGTAGCATCCATGAGGTTAGCCACATGGGAGGGGATTGGTAAATGCATCTTGAACTCATGCATTCATAAACTGATGACTCAGTGAAGGAAATGGGGTTAGTTTCATTGTCCCGCAGCCCACCCAATCCATTGATTACCTCTACAACGTAAAATACGACTTGCATTTACCAAGCTGCTTCTCTCACTTGTACAGTGGAGATCATACAGTCCACCTGATGCTCCTTGTGAGAGGGAAATGAGCTAGTACACATAAAAAGCAGTGCCTGGCACTCCAAGAGTGCTCAATGAATGTTAGCTATTATTCTGCACAAATAAGTTGATAGTGACCCATCCCAGTGTCGTTCTGGAAACAAGTAAGTGAAAGTGCTTCCCTCTGTGGTTAGAATCACCATTAGCAACTAGTTAGTGAAAATGCTTCCAGAATACAATATCTGGGAGAGGGGTGGGCTGGGTAGGCCAGGAAAAAATCTGAGTCAGACCTGGGACCAGAAATCAGACCTTTAGGTTTCACCAGGACTCTCTACTCAGGCTGTTGGTGTTGCCAGATGTCAAGGTTGGATTGGGGAAATGGTAGTCAGGCAGGGATGGGGGAAACTCTTAGAAGAGCCCGTGCCAATCTCTATCTAGGCTTTACTTAAGTTATGGGAAGGAATCCATGCTGGGTAAATGAGGTAATGAATGTGCAAGTGCTTTGCAAACTGCAAAGTGCTATACAAATGTGAAACATTATTGCACTCATCTATTTCTCTTCTTTGTGCTCCCAGGGTTTCCTAATAAGAGCTCTTTTTGAAAGTGCTAGTCTGACTTTGGTTAACTAAAAGGAAAGGGTGTGTGCAGTGTGGTAGATTGGGGGTTTTGTGTACCTTGAGTATAGCAGAGGTCCTGGCAGGGAGAGCAGAGACTTGCTGGCACCAGGAATTGGGGAGTGAACATGCTGAACGTCACATAGTGATTAATCCCTTCCGATCTGGGACATTTTCCAGGTCCAGGGGCCATCCTGGAGCTGCTTCAAACCATTCTAGAGAGACAGGATGGCCTGAGCTGGGAAGGGTGGGAGAAAACCCAGGGTCCTCGTGGCTGAGAATAAGTGCAGGCTGTCATGGGAAATGTCCTCATCCCTGAGTCTGTGCTTGCAACTTAGTCACCTAGCCTGGCTCAGGACAATGCAATGATTTCCAGCTGCTTTGTGTAAGGAATAAGGACTGGCCTGAGAAGAAAGGAAGAGTTCTGCCCCTAATATCCCTGATTATCTCAGCAGCATGGTTTCACCAGCCTGATTTGCTGCTTCTTCCTGCATCCAGCATGCTCCTGGGTCTCCTTCCCCACCTCACAGCCATGGCAACCAAACACATGGGCTTGTTAAGACCAGCAGCCCAACTTCAGCAAGGTCTAGCTGGCCTGGACAGAAGAGCCAAGGTACCAGATCCATTTCCAAGGCAAAAGTCCCCAAGTTTATAGTTAAACTCAACTTGCTTATTTGTGGATTTTGCTGGGGTGGAGTAGCCCCACCTAAAGGGAGTCACGTGAAATCTTAGCCTTTTCTTTGTCACAGAGTATAAGAATAAAACCTTTGATGATTGAATGGAT